CCAGAGAAAAGTGCATCAGAAATGAGTTGTCCCAATTTAAATGCTATAGTGTAGATTGACCCTTTATCCATATTAACTCCTGAAGCTGTATCACCCACATGAAGCATGCCAAAGAAAAATACAAACTGTTACATGAGTGAATGTCACATGACTTGTGAGGAGAGCGTTCCTTAAAAGTAAATGGTAAATGGACCTGTACTTGTATAGCACCTTTCTAGTCTTCCGACCACTCACAGTGCTTTTACACTATGTGCCACATTCACCCTTTCACACACATTCAGTCCATCGAACAGAAACTAACATTCAAACACGTTCACACACCGATGCATGGCATCGGGAGCAATTTGGGGTTCAGTATGTGGCACCAGGGGCTGGGGATCGAACCCACAACCTTCCGATTCAGGAACGACCCGCTCTGCCTCTGAGCCACAGCCGCCCGTGAAACTGTAACCTTTTGCTCCATTTAGGGGCAGCCAGCATGCAAAGTTTAAACAAACAACATTGCAAACCAGTTGCTTTTCAAGACAGTTGCATCTATCAGAAGTCTGTCCAGCAAATTTTGCCTCCATCAAGCAAAATTTAACTTTATATTAATCCTAACCCTTATGCCCTAGTTACTGTTGCTAAGACCATTCTAGCTCACCAGATGTGCAGTTTACATCCATAACAGTGGCAGATATACCAACAGAAATGAGTGGTAATTTTAAAAACATGTCCTGATTTCAAAGAGAAGTAGACAAAGACAAACATGTCATTTCTAGAAGGCAAATGTTGATTTTTCTGGCAATAATGACAACTGTCTCTGCCACTGGTGGTTTTAATGTACAGTATAATAAGAAAATATACATAACGCTGCTCAGATGTGTACTACTGCAATACACAGTGGTGGAAGAAGTATTCAGATCATTTACTGCAGTAAAAGTAGCAATAACATACTGCAAAAATACTCCAGTACAGTACACACCTCGTTGTTGCTGTATGTTATCATATGTTATATTATATTGCTAAGCTATAATTTGCTGTTTGGAGGAAGCGTTTAGCGAATGGTCAATATTTTTGACCATAACTCTTGCTACACAGCATGTCTGTTCTTGTGCCTCTCGAGTATCACTGGGATCTGTGCGAGCTGTGTAGCTGGAAGTCTTTTGTATGTGGATGCTAGCGAAAGTAGACAGGCTCATTATTGGATCCTTGGCTGTGTGGCAGCTGTGGGCACTGCCAGGGGTGGAGGATAGAAAAAGGATGACTGCGTTGCTGTGAGGGTCCGATGCGGACAAAGAGACAGAGAGTGTGTGTCTGAGCATGCTTTTTGTGTTTGTGAGTGAGTTTCTGTCCATGTGGTAAAGATGGCACACTGATTCCTCCCAGGCAGTCTCCCTCACTGCTCAGGCTCCCTAAGATAAGATGTCTGTCAGACGATATTAATCGAATGATAGAAAATGCTCATTTTTCTCTCATGCTTGAACTCATCTGCTCAATGCAAATAATTACTAGAGGAGACAGATAGACCCTCCAACAAGCTCTCTGTGCTGCTCTTTTTTCTCTATTTTATTTCTCTTTGGGTCTTCTTTCTTTTATGGTAACTATCATGGTCACGTGATTAAAACAAATATTGGCCCTTGTGAGGATGTGAAGACAGTTATTGTATGAAAAGGAAAAGAAGCTGTAACAAACATCAGTTTTGGCTTTCTGTGATGCTTAGTGGCACTCCACCGATTTACACAATCAGTTAAACAATCATCAGTTTACTGATCTTCCTGATGGAAGTCCAATGATGTGGGCTTTTATCAGGCAGGGAGGTTCAAGGGAAAGATGCTATGCTATGATGCATCATAGAAATAATAGGGTCCATTTGATGCTTGGCTCATACTAGGAAAAGTTAGGATAATATTGCCTCTGCTGCTTTACTTTTTTTTTACGTCTATTTTTTTTTGCAAGTCACCCATAGTTGTGAGAAGGCAATCAATTCTGGATTTTGAGAGCCATCCCTGTACTGTAGACAGTGCAAACATTTCCAGGATTTTACTTGTTTAATATGGTTGTTACCACTTAATACAGTTGCCTCTTGGTTTAAATGTCCTTTCTAAAGTCGAACTATATCTTGATTGTCACTAAATTTTAGTACTATTTTCCACTGGCAGACTGCAAAAGATTTCCCATATTTAAACTCATGTTAGCTGGTTCAGGCTTGGCTGAGGGCAACATCAGAACAGGAAGTGTCTGTCAGAGCCTTAAGCCATCGGCACATCCCATTTGAGTCTCTCTGGATCTCTGATGAGGTGTGTTTCCAATAAAATTCATCTAACTTCATACTGGAAAAAATATATAACTTGTGTGTTAGGACAGTGGGGTGAAAGTAGACCTGCTTTGGTTTGTACATTGTGCAGACTGGCATTAATTTTATGAGATTTAGGAAGAAACTATTACATATTAAGACATATTAAGACTGCTTATGTGACACTTTGTTTTGCTCTAAACTAAACTGTTTGGCAGTGCAGATACAGCCACATTGGTGCAGTCTGAGTCTGTTTAATGACATCTGATGTTCACCTTATGTACAAGTCATTCTCAAAGGTATTTCTACTTTAGAATGCCTTGGGGAGCACTACCTGAGGCACTCTGTGTGTGTGTGTGTGTGTGTGTGTGTGTGTGTGTGTGTGGTGTGTGTGTGTGTGTGTTTCTCTCTGTGGCTACACCTCAGGCACCATCCAGCAGCTGAGTAAGCTGTCACAGTGTTTATAGTGTTTCCTGCTGTAACACACACACACACATCCCCATTGAAAAGGTGGTGCTGTTTAACTGTCATCACCTGCTGACATTTTGGTGGAGGAGTACTGCAGCTATTAGGCTGTGCTGCTTGAAGGGAGCTCCAGTCAGGATGTGTGTGACAGCAGGGTGGAGACTTTAATGTGGGATGATACAAGGTCAGCATGAGGACAGAGCCTCATGTTACTTTACATGCACCTAAACCATTATGGCCACCATGAAAGAAGCATTGGAAATCTGACAGTGTGACAGTTATCGCCTGAATCTGCAGCTCCCCGCGGCTTTACGGAGCAAGTTACAACTCACTGTTCAGCTGTCCAACACACAACTTTATTGTTTTGGTCTCAGCACCAAAGAGCAGAAGAGATAAAGGGACACATATTTCGATGATGCCAAAAAACGGCCATTTGGTTATTACAGGTTATAAAAGTAAATGCAAAGTGCTGCTTGTATATGCATACGCAAAGAAATACCATAATCCTAACGCTGATCTGCAGTCCCCACAGGAGCTTGAGGGGATACTGATCTTTGTATCCTTCTGAGGACATTTTGGACAAACATGCACCACAGTCCCTGTCCAGGCTGTGACCAGAGGCCAGTAATGAAGCAGAGATCTGCATGACTGTAATGAGTTAGTCACAATCCACTGCCTCTACCCACAGGGTGAAACTCTGCTGGACAAAACTATTGCAGTCATCTCTGCACTACTTTCTTCTGCTACCATAAAAATCATTACAAGGACTGTGTGACTTATCTCCGCCCCTCAATCCCTGATATTTGTTTTCCCTCATTGTTTCGTTTTGCCATTATCAGTTTAACTGAAGAGGGGAGGTGAATACTAAAACTGCTCTCAGCCCTCCTCCCACCACACTGCAGTGTCCCTGCTCCACAACTTTGTTGCTGATTGGGGCCCTTCAGTCCTTTTTAGTTTACAGCCTCTGCATAGATAAGGAAATGTGATGTGACTGGACTGATAAGGAGGAATTGATTCCTTTATGCTGCAGAGTTTAGGAAAGGGAAGGGAAGAAGAGAGGCCAAGAAATCAGATCCCTCCCCAGAGGAGGGTGTGTGTGTGTGTGTGTGTGTGTGTGTGTGTGTGTGTGTGTGTGTTTGGATGGGATAACTGTGCTGTTCTTCATTTGGGTTGACATTTACACAATGGCAGCATTAAAGAGACGAACAAGGTAGCTGCACGGAAGAGACGAAAAATAGGGCAACTGAAGAGTCTATGGGAAATAACTGTGGGTCTTTAAAGGACCAGTGTGGATTTAGTGGCATCTAGCGGTGTAGTTACTGATTACAACCCCCTCGTCTCACCCATGAGTGAAAGAGAAACTAAGGTGGCTGTGAAACTTGTGAAAAATGTGAAAGGCCCTATCTAGAACCAGTATATTTGTTTTTTGTTGTTTTGGTTTACTGTAGAAACATGGCGGTTCAACATGGTGTACTCAGTGTAAGAGGAGCTGCTTCTTTTGTAGACTATCTATTTTTGCCATCAGACCCAAAATGTGGCACTTCTTGGCAGGTGTAAATTTTGGACACTGCTTCCTTCTCAGGAATAAATAGGATAACCCTTTGTATGTTGTCAAGAACGGAACAGCCATGTGATCTCACTGTGTTGTTGCTGTGCTGTTGTTGCTCAAACTTTAACAAATTCCATTCTGAAAACCTGTTCTAGCTCTGACTAGTCAAAAATACCAACAGCAGAAATATCTAGTCAACTTAGATACATACAGATTGTGAGTTGAGCACCAGGTTACCATTGGACAAAAATAATGTTCATACATTCTGAATAAAAACAGCTCTGTTGGCTGTTTTCTGCTCTTACAGCTCGAGGAGTATTTACTTAGTTGTTTCTGCTGAGATAAACCACCATTATTAGAGGACTAATAATAGAAATTCCACTTGTAGCAGCTTTATAGCCAATAATCAATTCCTTTATGATCCATTTTTCTCATTCTCATACAGACTGTGTGCATCTCTGTAGGTGTTTATGTCTGTAAGGAAAAAGCTTCCAGTGTTGCTGAGCCTCAGCAGGTGAAAGTCTGCTGCACTTGACTGACTTCACTTCACACCTCAAAGCACTCCTTCTGCCCTCTCACCCTCAGACAGAGGACAGGGAGACTGAGAGGGAGACGCAGACGGACAGATACACACACAAAACACACGATTCAAAAAAACCTGATTCCAGAGAAAACAGATGTTAAACTGTCGAGTTAAGATGATGATAATGTTTCGGATGCAAGAAACTCAAGATGTTAAAAGTAAATTACAGGTCCAGACTCAGAGAGTCAGGGTCAGGAAGGTCAAAGGGATGAAGACGTCCAAAATTAGATAGAAAAACAAAGTGTGGATCTCTCAGACAGCCTTAATGAGAGTTCATAGAAATATTGTAATGTCACCCCTTACTCAAAATTATTCTGGTTATCACTCCACATATAGTGGTCAGCAGTTACAGATTTGAGTTCCCTATAAAACAATAAAGATCTTCCTGTATACTACATTACATTAGATAATACTTTATTTTATAGGTCTGTAATAATAGAATAATTTCCTAAGAAGGTTCCTTGGAAAAAATACGATAAACAGGATATTAGTTTCGGTTTAAACCCAACTAAATATTTATTCCTTATTCCTTTATCATTGGATACTTTTTTCTTCACATATGTTGAATTGTATGCTTCACTGCAGACATGTTCAGCTGACCTGCTGTCCGCTGAGTAGAAGACTCTCTTTAGGCTTCGCAAGCAGTTAACTGGAATTGGTTAATTGAAAGTGTAGTCATTAAAGACTCTATTTTTTCTATAATTAGTACCAAATTACAAAGTTGTCTCCAGGAAACTTCTAGGAAATTGCTGACCCGTAAAATTAAGCATTAAGAGTCAGGTGGTGTCTGCTTGAGCTCTAAAACAACAACACCCAGATTATAATATTAGGGAAATGTTGATAGGTAGTTCATAACTTGAGTTTTTCATATTTAATTTTCTGTATTTTTTATAATCTTCTTTTTCTCCATATATTTAATCAGCCCTGTTTTATAGTCCTTGAACTGACGGTGATACAATCTGCACTGACTCAAAAAGTTGCTCTCTCCACCTTAAGAGGAAGCTGACCTTGTCACCAAGGCCCCACTTCATCAGATTATTCAGCCCCAGATTAATTTGACAGAGTGCGCTCCTGGGTAATTTAGTTGTTCCAATCTAATCGACACTGCGGTAGACGCTTCACTTAAGACCATATATCAGCTTTCCCTCCTGCGGCGATACTTTAATTTGGCAACTGAGGGGCAAAAGGAAAGAAGATTACAAGGAGAACTTCTATTACCTGAGATCTCAATGTCCTCTTTTTGCCATTATTTAAACAACAAAGGTATTTGTGTCATGTGTAACTTGAGCTGCTGATAGCAAACACCTGTGGAAATGTGCTTGAGCCAGACACCGAATATCTGTCACGCCTCCATTAGAGCTGACCGTGACCTCTGACCTCTGCGTGGACGGAGGAAACTGACCAGATAGATTTCTCTTTTACTGTAACAGTCAGAGGATCCAACTTTCTAGATTTCTTATACAGGAAAGACACACCTGCATTAAGTCACTCTTTACATCTGTGCGTGTGTGGGTGTTTTTGCAGAGCGGCAGAACCACGCCCGAGAGCTGGTGAGAGAGGCTGACCTGTCACAGTGGGACGCTTTAGTCATCATGTCTGGAGACGGACTTCTATTTGAGGTAAAGAGAGATGCACACAAACACGTTCACTATATTCATATCCAGGCTCCACTCTGGTACACCGAGGAATCTCTGAAATTAAATGACTCTAAAAGTCACAACATCACACACTTCTGTCATCACTATAAACCAAAATGTTTCCTGTTTGTGTATCCAGATGAACATCATCACAAATTAAAATATAATTTAAATGTGTCTCATCACCAACAATTCTCAACTATCCTATACTAACAGTATGTAATGTATACCAGATAACTGTGTAAGTATTATTTAGGAAGACAACTGATTAACTTCTCTCCAGCTTTCTGTTTCAGTCGCTTTTTCAGTGTTGCGTTGCTTGTTTATGAATGTGATAATTAATTAATAACTCAACATGTCTCTGGTTCAAGCTGCTTTTCTCTGATTTATATCGTTGTAAACTGAACATCTTTAAATTTCGCACATAACAAGCTCTAACTGTGGGCATATTGAAATTAAGTGTTAAAATAAGTGTCAGCTGCAGCCTTAAATATAATTATAATGGGTAAATATAGTTTATATTTATTAACTAGCCTTTTGTTAATATCTTATTACTGGTTATTCTAAAAAAGAGAATCTGGCTACATTATTTACCAAAGAGTCAATTTCTTCAGTTAGTGCTTTAAAACACTGAATATTCAATGTGTATTTCTCTCTGTCCACCTGAGTGCAGCTGTATTTTCTGTGTCTGTCAGGTGATAAATGGTCTGCTGGAGAGACCAGACTGGGAGGAGGCCATCCGGACACCGCTGGGTATCCTTCCTGGTGGATCAGGCAACGCCTTGGCTGCATCTATACATCACTACTCTGGGTGAGCCACATGCAGAATCCCCCCCCCCCGAAAAAACAAAATATCAGCACTCTGTTGATCTGCCTGTCACTATGGTGGTGTAGTTATGATTCTGAAGGTTTCATGGCTGGTTTGAAAACCTCATAAAGTCCATTGAGGCACTTATTTTTTAAACATTTCGTCATTTTGTATGTCATTTACATCATATATTGATATTGTTTCTCTCATGGCTACACAAACACAAACACACACACACGCACACACACACACACACACACACACACACACACACACACACACACACACACACACACACACACACACACACACACACACACACACACACACACAAACACACACACACACACACACACACACACACACACACACACACACACACACACACACACACACACACACATCACTGCTTTGGCTGGGCAAAGTGACCTGTGATTTAATGTTGTAGGTGACGATCATGATGATTAATCTATTAGTTGATCAACAGAATATTTTTTGTGAACAACTTTTTATTGTTTTTAAATGTAAACAAGTACAGCAGTCAGACAACAGTACAGGCATATTGCAATAAGTAAAAAAAAGACCTAGTGGAAACCCCCCATCCCCCACCCCACCCACTCAACACTGGATCTCTGTAAAACTCTGATCAACAGAATATTTATCAAATAATCATTTAAGTCATTTTTAAGGCAAAAATGCCAAACATTTCCTGGGTCCAGCTTTGTAAATTTGAGGATTATTTTGTCATATACAATCTGAATTCCTTTGGGTTTTGGACTGCCGATTGAGTAAAACAAGACATTTGAGGACAACATGCTGTATTGTAGCAGTGTTACTCCATCATGAGCTTCACAGAAACCAGTCAAACCAGTTAGGGAACATAATGATGTGGGCCTCGTCATTCCAGGCGCAGGGCTGTGAGTTTCAATTGCACGTGCACAGTACATATTGCAAATCTGGTTTAAATCAGATTAACAGTGGGTAGTTGCAGCCAAACAGTGTGATTGGTCAAAGATGTGCTCCAGAAATATCAGCTTATCCCCCATCAGACAGAAGCTACCTGCTTTAGGACAGGACAGCTGGACCGGAGACAGGAAACTAATGCAGCCGTCAATATAAGTATTAGTAATGGCCATAATGTCCACAGGATCTCAACTGTATACAAATGTAATAAATACTGTGGACAGATCCAGACGTAACTACTGGTTGAACATGTAATTATTAAACAAATAAGATGCTGGTTTTGTTTACATAGTTTTCCGTATAGATATATAGTATCTCAGCCTCAGAGACACATGGGCCAGCCTTCTGGTGCTTTTCAGAGTAAAATGCATCTCATCCATTAATTATTAATGATTTGCTCATTTGTTTGGAGTTCAGTCAACCAGGACAAAGAACAGAAAGGAGAAGTTGAAGGAGAAGAAAGAAACCAACGAATGAACAAACAATAGCAGCTGATCAGATTCAGAGGTGGAAAAACTAATCCTTATAATAGATATTCAGTAGTTTACTCAATAGTGACTTTACAGACACTCACGAATCATCATCTTATAGAGTTGTAAAATGCATTGCATTGTGGGACTAGTAGCAGAAAGAGGTTTTTTTTGTAATTGTGACCAAAATATACAGTGAGGAACATTTACTGTAAAAATCAACTTGTCTTTCACTGCGATGCGTCCACAACAGGACAGTGATGTGGAACAAAAGTGAGTCATCAGTATGTGAGGTCATCGGTCCGTCATTGCTGTTACAGCTACAATAAGCTAACTAAGTAAACAAGACTTAATTTGTCCAAAACGTAGAAAATCCCCAGTGTACAGCGGTGCTTCTCCGCTGGGCGCCAGCTGGTGCAAACTAAAGAAAAAAATAAATTCCCCCCTTTGAGCTGCTCATGTTTGTAGGTCACATTAAGCTTTATCTTGACCTTTTACTATTTTATTTATTTTGTAATCCGTAATTTTGTATCTCAGTGTATTTGTTTTGGTTTTTGCTTCTATTTAAAGGACAGTGTGTAGGATTTAGTGAAATCTAGCAGTGTATCTGCAGATTGGAACCAACCTGCCTCACCCTCCTCTTCCAGCTGTGTCTCTTGATACACGAAGGAGTCTATTAAATATTTAAAAAGAATTAAACACATTTATTTAAAACACATAATACTGTCAAAGTACTGCAAAATGTTGAATAAAAATACTTAAACTATGAGTTTTGCATTTCCTATTAGTCCCAATAGTCTTGTTTAAGTATTGTTCGTGTGTGACGTCCGCATACATCCATCATTAGTTACAAGTTAAAATGTGATGGAAAGATAGTGAGAGATAAAATTAATTGTGGCTCCAAACAGGAACTATTTGGAAGAGAAGTGCAGATCAGGAGTACCCTTTTCTATCAAATTAGTTTAGGATTCAACAGTCAACAATAAATCTTCTTATAAGGAACAACTAAATATCTATAGTTAAATATGGTAGGCCTACGCTGTATTCTGATGGTGATATGTGGAGAGCCCAATATTTTCTGAGGTGGTACGTAGTTTAAACAGTTTGAGAAACACTATATTCCATTTCTGTCATTAATGTTATACACTTGGACCTTTAAGCCTTTAAGCTGCAATTGTGGATTCCTGACTAAATAAAGGATGAATTAGTAACAATGAAATTCAATTAAACAATACACCTTACTCTGATGGCTGTCTTCACCAAAGAGCCACATTCATTCGCCTCTTCGACTGCATCTGCCAATCTGCTTCTCATCAAACAATGGTCTTCCACCAGAGCGGCAGCAACAATGAGAGGAAGGGACCAGACTCTGTATTGTTTACTCTCCTCTCACACTCCCGGGGCATCCAGAAAATATCTCTCTCTCTCTCTCTCTCTCTCTCTCTCTCTCTCTCTCTCTCTCTCTCTCCCTCGCTCTCACTGCAGGCTGTCCTGCAGTGGCCCTGGCCAGGGTGTATTTGGTATTATTCCCAGCTGAATGTAGGGTTCACTGAGGCTACGTGGATCAAACGAGCAGCAGCTAGAATGTATCTGGTATTATGCAATGCAATGAGTGAATGAAGGTTCGCTGAGTGAGGATTTAATGTGTTTCTGTAAACAAACATAATGAGCACGAGCTGGAACATCATCTGAACGCTGACGGTTGAAGTGACAGGTGTGACACTTTGATGTGAGTGAGAGTCTCCCTCCCCTGGTGGTTTACAGATACTGCATAAACAGCTTAGACTGGATGGGATCTGGAAATATATAATACAATATAAGGACATTAATTCTACTCAGATGGCACCTAATTATAATTATTGCGGGCTAATACAACAGTCCTACAGTAAATCCCTTCATGACGTTATAATGTGTTTGTTTAGAGAGGTGTGGATTCGACTGAGGCTGCAGTTTGTGGGACTATATGAAGTGTATTGTGTTGCCCCTGTGATCTATATATATTGATTTATTATGACATTATTAGCATTTCACTGTTGGTTGGGGTGAAGCTAGATTTGACTACTTTTATATATAGTTTGGTAGTTTAGTCCAGTGGCTCCAAACTTAAGGGTCGGGCTCCCTTCGAAGGGTCACAAGATAAATCTGAGAGGACTAATGAGGTAATAAAGAAGACAAACTAAAGACAGGAGTTGGGCGAGGCAAATTTGTATTAATGTGTAAATAGATTAATTGAGGAAATGACTCTCAGGTGGAACTCAAAGACATCTGAAACATGAGACAAGGGGCCCCAAACAGGTTCTTATTTTATGTAAGAGGCCACAAGCTATAAAGGTTGGGGAACCACTGGTATTTAACAGTGTGCTGTATTTTACAAGCTTATCATATACTATAAGTCATGCTAGTGGCACGGCTGTAAAGGCAATGTCGCCATGAGAATGTCTTAACAACTATCGGATGGATTACCAACACTATCTGATACACACTGTCATGTCCCCATCAGGAAGAATTGTTATTTTTTTGGTGATCCCTTAACTTTCCATCTACGGCATCTTCAGGTCAGAAGTTCAGTTTGTCCAATACTTTGTTTTATGACCGAATATCTGAGAAACTAATGACATTCCCATCAGCCTCAGCTTTACTTTGTGCTGACTAGAAAACGTTAGAATGCTAACATGCTGGACTAACATGTTGAACATTATACCTGCGTAACATAAGCATGTTAGCATTGTCGCTTAAAACACCACTTTATATCTCATGGCTGTAGATCTTAGTCTTGTTTTTATCAATCGTGATCTGAAAAATACTAAATAATATATCTTGCTCCTTTTGCAATGTAGTGGAGTAAAAGTTTAAAGTTTAAAGTAGCATTAAATGGAGAGTAAAGTGCACGTACGTCAGTATTGTACTGAGTATATTTACTTTGTCGGTTGCGGTCGGAAATCGTATCATTTCTTGACCTTTTTACAGACAATGATTATAAAGAAACAGAGTCGTGGAAATGTAGATGAGACTATTTGGATAGTCAGACCAGCGAATAGATTCAGGATGATGAATATGGAGATGTCTGCAGGGCCACTGACAGTGAACTCCACTGAGACATCCAGTCTTCACTGTAATTGGCTGCGGGTGGTAACAGCAGGGAAATCTGTGTGTCTGTTTGTGTGTGTGTGTGTGTGTGTGTGTGTGTGTGTGTGTGTGTGTAAGGGGTGTTATCATGACCTTCCACCCCTGTCTCCGTTCCCCCAGATGGGGTTGTCTTTGTTGTCTGACTGCCCTGTCATGTCTGAAATCCCATAAGCTGATTCTGTCCCACCTCCAAGATTTGTCCCTGATCCTCCTGGTTTATTGAACCCTGTCCCCTGTTTCCCCCCCTCCGACTCACCCCACTCCCTTCATAGCTCCGTGGACCCCCACCCTCCTCATCTACCTCCTCTCTCTCTTCTGTATTTTTACAATTACACAATAGGGTCAAAGTTACCCCAGTATTGTATAATGCTCCTCTTATAGCTCACTCCCCAAAACACACACGAGCCTCGACCCACTTCTTAACCCAAAAATATTAAGTGCACCATCCCGTTTGTACTTTGGTGTCTTCTCATGTTTGAAGCTAGATTCTTAACTGTGTCTCCTTCTAGAGGACAGTGTACATTAAATATCTTTCGGCTTGGGGCTGGTCATTTGGACAAAATAGGTTATTTAAAGAAAATTACCTTGCAGGAAGTTATGACGGCCATATTTCACTATTTTCTGACATGTTCATTAAAGAGATTGAATTTGTTAAAGCCCTAAACTGGTGTCCAATTCAGATATGGTGTATCTCTGCCAACTAAATGGGCACGACCTTCGACCATTTAATTAGAGCCTTAAAGACAAGCAGCCTGGAAGCTGTAAATACAACCTGTCACACATTCAAGTGCATTTGATCGGAAATATTCACTAAAAACACCCTGCAGTTCTGTAGTGGCTGTTCTGTTTTAGAAATCAAGCTTCACATGCACTACAACAGAATAAACAAAAACATCTATCTATCTATCTATCTATCTATCTATCTATCTATCTATCTATCTATCTATCTATCTATCTATCTATCTATCTATCTATTTAAAGTCTTGCCACAAAACACATGTAGGAGCTGTTAGCCTTTGAGCAGATCACATCATCAGCAGATGGAGTTGTGATAGAAAAGTTTTTCTAAACACTTTAATGACTTTTGTACTCAGAAAAATGGAAATTTCAACATCAACATGACAAACTACACATCATATAATCGAAAGCTCCAGAACAGCTAAGTGGATCATGAAAGAGAGACCCTTGACAATGCGATATGAAGGGGGTTTAAACGCCTGTTGTGACTAACTCTGATCTGTCCTCCTTCGTTCCTCCAGAGCCTCGCCGGTGTCCAGTGAGGAGCTTCTGGTAAGCTGTGGTTTCCTGCTCTGTAAAGGACTCGTGTCCCGTATGGACCTGGTCTCCATCCACCTCTCCTCCAGCCCTCGTCTCTTCTCCTTCCTGTCGCTGGCCTGGGGCTTTGTAGCGGATGTGGACATAGAGAGCGAGAAGTACCGTCACGTCGGAGCTGCCCGGTTCACTGTCGGCACGCTGGTCAGGCTGGCTTCTCTCCGCGTCTACAAGGGCAAGCTGGCTTACCTGCCCGCCACCGAGGACTACAACAGCAAGGAGGGTTTGAGAAATAACGTGACGCTGCACTGCAACAATCAGGCCTCCTCCCTGGGTCCAGCCTCTGTGCTGTGTCGACCGTCCAGAGACTCTCCCTGCGAGAACACCTTCCACAACTCCTGCCACTCCAACAACTCCCTCAAAGTGAGGAGGACGGAGAGCACGCCTTCTCGAAGCGCCACCAAATCCCTCCCCGGCCCACCAGATTCTCTGCTGCTCCCTCTGGACCAGCCGCTGCCCAGCGACTGGGTGGTGGTGCAGGAGGAAGACTTTGTCCTCATGCTGGCCATGTACCAGTCCCACCTGGCGGAAGACCTGATGGCAGCCCCGGGCGCCACGGCGGCCGACGGCGTCATCCATCTTTTCTACGTTAAAGCGGGAATATCACGTACCGCGCTGCTGAAGCTGTTCCTAGCAATGGAGAAGGGTGCACATCTGGCTACTAACTGTCAACATCTGGTGTACACTAAGGTGCGGGCACTCAGGTTGGAGCCATATTCGCCCAAAGGGATAATAACAGTAGATGGAGAAGTGGTGGAATATGGGCCGGTGCAAGCAGAGGTACACAGAGGCCTGGCCAGATTAATCTCTGGATGAAGTGAACCACCAGCAGCTCTGCTGTTAAAGGCCCAATAAACATAGTTTATTGCTGACATTTTTAGCATTGTCTGTCTTAAATCTTAAAACTAAATCAATGGATGTAAGACTCATTCACTGTTACCTGTACAACGGTACATAGGTACCTGTGTTTCAGGAGGAAATGACTCAATGTAGGTTGGGCTATTACGACAGACAGGTGCGATGTACAGAGACCCAAAGTGTTGAATATTGAATAAATGAGTAAGACATTATGAAATTAATAATCATATCAATAAATGGAGACAAACTACATAGTAAAACCATTCATTTGTGAAATAACCTAATGCAGAGCATTACCTAAGGCATGTGACAAAGGCTGTAATGTCACATAACTGACTCTGGCCTCAAACAGACTTTATTAAAAAAAAAACTGAAACAAGCTATTTTTTATGCTTAACTTAAACTTAACTTAAAATTAGAATTAAAATTGTATTGTGGAATAAAAACATTTTGAAAGTTAAAAAAACTGCTGGAATAAAATAAAAATGACGTGCAATAAACTGTTATTGTGAAAAAGAAAACAGGATAAAATCTCACAATAATGAGCTGAGCTTTAAAAATGTGCAATTTCATGCCTCTATTTATTTATATTGAACACTTTGGGTCTCCGTAGCCATGATGCCGTGCTTACTGTAGGATTATTATTTATAGACAAAACACAAACGCAAATATACAGACACGTTTTAACCTGAATTACAGCATCTTATGCAACAGCAAAGGGTTGGATTTATGCCTTCACGGCTCCGCTGTTTGGAGACTGTGTGTGTGTGTGTGAGTGGGATTGTCATTGTGGTGCTGTCATTGCCCTGGTTTTAACAGAGGTCACCGGGCTTTGTGAGTGTTTATGAAACAGAGAGAGCCTCGAACACTCAATTAAGGCCAAAGACTTGAATTCTTGAAGTCAACAGATGTCACTGTCAGCAGTTTATATCAGGACTATCTCTTCTGTGGAAACTGGTCACAGTGAGGTCTGTGGATTATATTTATTGCACCACAAACAAAATACCATTGACCGTGTCATTGGTATCGAGATACCACTACAGGTCAAAGAGAAAATACTGTTTTTTTAATTTGGGTGAACTGACTCGTTAATCCACCCATTTGTTGCATCTTGTATTACCAACAGCTCTATTTAATTGTTGAATGCTGATTTACGCCATTCATGTGAATAACTTAATTACTGAGTTTAGCCATCACTAACTGAAGTAGATACAGGAAGAGGCAAGAAAGTTTATTACGCCTAAATTGTGAAAAACACTTTGTGGAATGTGCTGAACATTACAGACTGATAAAAACAGCCAAATATGATGAGCGACTCCTGCAGCTATGCTCTCAGGACGGATGACTGATGTGTTTTAGTGCCTCTTTGGCTGCATCCTCCATCCTTCCATCCCATTCTTCTTCTTTCCTCTCCGCTTTCCTCCATCCATCTGCTGCTATAAGCACTGCAGTCCCAGGCCTGTGTGCCTCTGGTCTCAGCTGCTTTTCAAAAAAACACACACACACATACAAACAAAGGCTGTCCCTATGGGAGGTTTATTAATGATCATCACCTAGGTGTCCTTACCATTGAGCTTTAAGTCACATAGAGGAAGAGATGAGTCAGGATTTCAGATTATTTAATGGGATTTTAATTGTGATCCGAATCTTCATTTCATTATTTTCCAAAAAGCTGATCTGGATACAAAGAGGCTGGTTAAAGCTGGTTAAAACAGCACACTGGTGAGTATAGGGAGTACAAGGGGAGGGAGGGAGGAAGAGGGGGAGATATCGACTTGTTAAATGCTTCATGAGGTAGGCGGCGTTGTGTTCCTGACAGGGCGCCCTTATTCTTCCTCCTCACCGCAAGAAATCATTTGGGAGCATTAGTGAACTGTCCTGACACTGAGAGAAGGAGAGATGGATGTGTTTATTTCACCTCAAGCCAAATGCACACAGTAACGGTAGAATTAGGAAAGAGGGGAAGACGGGGGCTGACGGTGACATCCACTGTGCAACAAAAGTAACATCTGACTGTGGTTGTCATTTTAAACACGAACAACAAGAAAGGTTGGATGTCGATGCCTCGATTTGTGGACTTTTCCACCGAGAGTTTTGTCATTTTTAATCACGTCTATATAATATAATAAAGGCCGACAGTTATTTCTTCTGTGTTTTTGCACAAGCTTGTTGCTAATGCCGTTTTGAAGCCTTCACAGGACGTCAAGGTTGATTTTCTGTCATTTCATTTCTCATTCAGTTGGCTTGAATTCTGTTTACTCATGAAGGATTGCAGCAGGAATTCAGCTGACGAACTACAAACATGTAAAATGGCAACAGTACTTGAAGATGCTTGCTGTTGTTTTAGGGGACAAATGTGGTCTGTAGCCCCAAAACCTGAGGCCAGGGAGTGGTTAAACGTGGACACACTGTACTTCCAACAGTGTTTCCAAACCATTTTGGCTTGTGATTCCTTTAACATGAAGCCAGTGTATCTGCTTGTGACCCAAGTGTAACCATAGAGAGCTGCTGAGATTGTTTTATTTGAAATATTTTTAGGGGCCTTATCATGTGAAATTATCCAGTAAGTAAAGAGACAAAACACATGGACTTGAAAAAGAAAGTGCTACTGACCCAGGCCACTTTCATACATTTTTTTTTATTTCTATGCAAAGTGGGGTTTCTTGTGAGTGATGCAGTGGTCCTTCTGTTTGATGTGCCTTGATTGTGCTGCCTCCTGGTGGTTTGAACACAGTGGTGCATTCACTGATTTCTCATTTGCTACTGGCTGGTTTTTTCATCAGAATCATTTTTTTTTAAAACTCTGATACTCGAAGGAAAACAGACAAACTGAATATTATGTCAGAAGAAAACTTTTGTCTTTGATAAAATACTAATTTATGGCGTCTCCCCAGAGTGTAATTGTGGCACAAAGCTTTTCTGTGAACATGCATCCCAACAGTTTAACTTTTAAATGTTGATATTGATACCATGACATCTGTTCATCGGTTACTGGGGAGATCTTAAGCATCTGTTCATTATGGAAAAGAAATTGGAGCAACGACTTATACCTGAATCTAATTTCAGTCTGCAGGTGTGTGATTGGAAATCCAAACAAGTTAAACCAGACTGATAAAGTTGGCAGTGATGAAGGACCTGATGTACATTCTTCTGTCGGCAGCTTGAAGACAGATGAAAGAAACTCACTTCGTCTGACTGTTGATTTGCTGTTTATGTCTTTTTACCTGCTGCTTCTCAACTGTTGTGTGTAAATGTTTATGTGAAGGGAATTTTTATTTTATTTTATTTTTTCCTGGCACACTGAAGATTGAATGATTCTTTATCCACAGAGAGATCTATTTTTCCATTAGACAAATGTCTGTAATTTTTCTATTATCAAATCAAACATTCTGCTGGAGTGTTTTTGATTGAAAAATAAATATGACAAACAACCAGCCTGTGATTGTGACTTCATCTTCTTACACTAAGATATAAAGTATTTATCTGCTGTTACGATCATTTGGTCTATCATTAAACGTAATACAGGTATAATCCTCAGAGGGGTCTCCTCTGTTATGTTGTGAGATTAAAAATGTGAAGAAAGGTTGTGTGCAAACCCCGGCTATATTTAGATCAGGTGTAAGTTGACGAATGTACTAAATATACTTTCTGACACTGGCCTAAATATAAGAGATGACATACATAGTTTGTATCATTAAAAGGAAACCTGTGATTCAGGTTTCAGGCAAAACTACTCTGCTGTCGATCCTACTGAAACAAATGTTAATGTCCGGTTACTGTGGGACATTCACCATCCAGCTGTATGATGAATAAATATTGGATCAGACTATGTGGGAAGATACTTAATGTATAAAACAGCCTTTTAAATAAACATTAACAACAATCACCAGGATCCACCCATAAGCATAGTATCAGACATAGAATGGATTTCTATATTTGAACTAAATGACTGCTAAGAACAATAACAGCCATGTGAAAGGGTCATTTTATTCTGTATTCTTCTTACTGCCACAAATGTCATGAAACGACCAAAGCCAACAGTGTGTTAGTTTGTGCCTCAATACTTCGACCTCCCCACCTTGTCTACCCATCTTCCTCACGCCCATTGGTTCCTACTAAATAAATCTTTAACAGCAGGCACACACACACACACGTAGCTTATCTTTAAAAAGGCTCAGTAATTTCCTGAAACAGCTGGTCACTGCAGTTTTTGGCACATCTACTCAAACCGGAGAAAACTGGGTATTTGTTTGGGACCATTTTCAGCTGCGGATTAATACACAGTTGGTGCGCTAATGAGTATTTACACCTGAAGGACAAACGTGGGACTGACTCAAAGTGGCTTTGTTCATCATACTGAACGAATATCACCCAGTGCGACACTGGGGTTCATGGTTCTTTATTGTATTTTTGGAGCTCTATGGCTGAAAGCAATAAACAATAGCAAGCTTTGGCTGCACAGGACCTACTTGTTAATTAATTGTTTGGTTTTGGTGTTCTCGTGTTATTTGGTGATAATAAAATAGAGAATACCACCAGACTTATCCTTTAAAATCATCCTTAGGAAAAGCCTGAGTTAATACAACAGCTAACAGGGATCCAAATAAATAAAAGCCACAATGTTACTATGGTACTGCTTGCAAAGTTTAATACATCACTATACAGTTTGTCTTAACGCAACAAAAGTAAACCAATAAAAAATGAAATCGTAAGTACAATAACACACTCAGCATTTTGTACATATATGCCCCAAGCATCCACGTGACTTGTTAGAACTCAGGTGTGTGTTAAATATATACTGTGTGTATTTATATATTTCAATATAGTCATCACATCTGTACAGAGGGAATCAGGCTACAAATCATAACTTTATTAGTTCCTTTTTAATATATCAATAAACAGGCCACTGTGGAAATGTAGACATCGTACAGTCAAGTCTTGTGTGTAGCCCATTCACAAGGCTTAAAGCAACATGTTACATGCTTTGGCTGTAAAACATACTTTTCGCAGTAGTAATAATAATAATAATGAGAATAATAATAATGGTTTAAATCTGAATATTATACACATACACAGAAAATTGTACATAGCATCGTGTGCTCGGTATCCTGCCAGATTTTAGTTTCTAGCGAGATAACTTCACATTTTCTGTTTCTGCGACTGTGAAATGAGAAAGATGGAGCAATAATGTCACCTCTCAACTCTTGGTGAGGCTGTGTGTTTGTGTATTCTTTATGTCTTCAGACTGAGCATTTCAAACACACTGCTTCCAAGAATTTGCAAAAGGTGACATTTTACAAACAGCAGCATGTGGAGAGGGAAAAAAAAAAAAAGGGGAGACAAGAAAGCAAACAAGGCTACAGCAGCTGGCGAAGAAGACGACACACCCTCCTCTGTAGCATTAAAGGCAGCGAAATAATGACGGTGGAGTCAAATCCAGGAAGAGGACAAAGTGTCATGGATGCCTGATTGCCACACCTGGTACAGGAATGCCAGTTTTTAAGAGTCGTAGGGAAAAAAATGGAAGACAAAGAAAACAAATACCCTCACTTTGGAGCTTACATTTTGTTTTTCTCTTTATGTCTCTTTAAAACGCAGCAACTCTTGGCTCATGGTTTTTATCCTCTCCCATCACTCATATTTCACAATGGCACAGTGTGCTCTCTCATTCAGAAACACTCTTCAGCATCAAGGTTCTTTGTTAAAGTAAAATATCAGACAGCCGACGCTCTCTTGTTTATTTCACAGGTTATAGCTAGCACAGGGGAGTTTGTCTGACCTGTGTTATAATCAGAATAAGTATTACTACATTGAGATTCATAATGTCTTGAAATAAAAAAAAAGAACATTATGTTAGAGGTGGGATGCAGTTTTTTTAAAAAGATGTAAACAAAGACTGCTCTGATTTCCCCAGGAAGCACGATTGGACCCAAAGGTGACTTTCGTTCACAGTTAATTACAGCACAATCAGCGGCAAATCAAAGAGTTTTATGGTAACTTGGTAAATAAAACCTTGATTTTTGCCAGATAGCGAAAAAGAGGAAAAAGAAGATCACAGACACAGAAGTCCTATCAGCTAAAGTTTTGTCCGTGTGCTGTACTTTTCTCTCGTCAGTGGGGTCAGCAGTCGCCTTCGTGGGATAAGACGCTGAGTCGGGGGAAAACATGGAATTACAGGAAATAATAACAATCAAGCAAGATAATTATAGTACCAACAAACCTTCAGCATCACACATACTGTAGGTTGTATTCTGATCTTACTAAACTCGCAATTTGGAGAAAATTGAATACAGCGATGGCCGCAGTGCAAAAAGCTCAGGATTAAGAACTGATAATGAGGGAAACTGATCAGAGATCTGCAATATTAAAGGAGGAAAACACTGGAACAGGGTTTTAGTGGTTTTTCGTGTGTAGTAGGACTAGGCCTGTATAGGTTAATGTCTAAAGCATGACACAAGCAGCTCTGTACACAATGGTCTGAGATCATTAAGAACAATTCAAGTAAGGCAACATGTTGACATGAGATGACGGAATGGATGCTGTATGTTTTCTTTCTACTTATCATTTATCATAATTGTGTCATTTGCAGTGATGTGGGTTCACCTCTGTCACGGCCACGTGTAGCATTGTGGGTAAAGCTCCACTCTGAAAGTACAGTTTAGCCTCTGAGTAAAACAACCTCAAATGCATCAAAACACCAAAGCACAAGTTTCATTTTGGTGATCGAAAAAACGTTGCTAAATTCTACAGAAAGTGAATGGAACTTTTGTATATAGAGGCGGCAGCTGTGTTAAGCTTTGACTAGAGTACAAACACCTTCACATAGAGCCACCTAACAGTCGTCCTGTGCCTGGCTGGCTTCTCTACACACCAAACAGCTACAGCAGTCTGACCTCTAGAGGTGATTCATATGTAAACTTTGTCACTCGATGTTTGCTGTGTGGTTCTGTGCGAGTGATTGGCGAAGGAAAAATACCAGCAAGTGTAGTGGAAGAAGTGGCAAAGCTGTTGTGGTTGGCAGTTTTACTGACATTCAGTACGTTCTACTTGAATATTTGTGTGTTTGTGGACAGATATAATTTGGCAGAAAGCGTACAACCAGTGATTTCTATTTAAAAAGAATCCTCCTGGTCAGCATATTTATAGTGTCACCTCTCCAAGACCAGATTGTCCATTCGTTTGTGGTAGTGCAGGATGGTACAGCGATAGTATCAGTAGTGCTACAGATAGCCGCAGTTGGCCCAACAGCCAGGTGAGCTGGGCCTTGCAGTTTTTCCCAATGGAACCCAGCCACCTTTCACCTCGTCCCAAAATGCAGCGACGATCACAAGTCTGCTTTACTTTTTTCAGGCTGATTGAGACGGCAGAGTGGTTATCCAGCAAATCCCCGCCCATATGGTGGATGCTGCTGGAGGCTAGGTGGATGAGGAGGATGAAAGAGGGTTCATGGCACTGATTTTTCATCTCATTCAGTCCTTTTTGCATCCACACCACCTCCACTGAAGTCCTGCTGAGGCCAAAAGAGAAACTGACTGCCTCCAGTAAAAAGCTCTGTGTGTTTACCTGTGTCCATGAACAGATGAGGGTTCCTATGTGACGGGGTAGCGCCCGTTGGTTTGTGTAACTGCGCATGTGAGGTCCACCTCTCTTTATTCATCACACTCATCTGTAGAGACACTGAGGGAGAACAGAAACAATATGAAGTCGTATCCAAACCAGAACCTGCTCACTTATCCTGATCAAAAAGGTGCTGTTCTCCTGCAGTCGCGGTTTGATCGAGGGGGGATTATGGGGGGAAAAAAGCAGTACAATGTGGAGTTTGGGGCAGCAGGAGCAGTACAGACTAGGAAACGGAGGTAAAGGACAAAAACGTGGGCAGTGCTGGGGGCACAGTGCAGCTCTGGACAGGGGTACAGAAGATTGAAAATTGTAGTCCCCCCCGACAACAGATAATGGCTCCTTCTCTACGGCTTGAGGCAGATGAAAAGGTAAAAGAGAGGGAGGAAAAGAGCAGGGAACAGTGCAGAGGTGAGTTGGGGAACGGCGAGGAGGCACTTACTTGTCCTCTATGTGCTCAGTGATGCCAGCGGCGGCCAGCGCAGCTCGGTACTGCAGCAGCACACCTCGAACACTCTTCACAAACCCCTTAGAGAGCGGGAAGAGTGGAAAGCCGATGTCTGGGTAGCCACTGCCCTCTGGGAGGAAACTCCGGTAGCTCTTTCTCCGTTTCTTTGGTCGCACCACCGGCTGGCTTCCTGTAGAGCCCACCCCTCCTCCGCTAACCGTGGCTGAACCCGATTCTGACATCCCGCCACGGACTACAGAGCCAGGGACTGTAGAGCCACCCTTGTTTTCACCACCCAGGGAGGCGCTCCCCTGGGTGCTGTCGCAGTCTGAGTTTTGGCTCAGCTCCTGCTGAGAGGCTGCTGTAGTG